AGAAGGGATTAGGTTCAGAGTACATCCTACACTGGTATGGCCTCATTAACATAACAAACCAAACCCAAACTCGTTGCTGTCCAGTCGATTCCAACTCATAGCAACCGTGTAGGACAGAGTAGAACTGCCCCATAGGGTTCCGAAGGAGTGGCTGGTGGATGTGAACTGCTGACCTTTTGGTTAGCAGCCAAGCTCTTAACCACTAACATAACCAAGGAAACCCTATTTCCAAACAGGATTACATATGCAGGTATAGGGGTTAGGATTCCAGCACATGTTTTGGGAGGAGGACATTTCATAACAAATCCCCAAAGGAGCAGTCTGTGGGAATTTGTGCCTGGGCAGCCCAGCCTGGGATGCCCACTGGTTTTTGATCAAAGCCAGGACGACCTTCATTAGCCCCATACACAAAGAGAAAGCAGCCCTGGTGGCCCAGTGATTAAGCACTTGACTATTAACTGAAAGGTTGGCAGTTCAAACCCACCAGCTGCTCTGTGGGAGAAAAGAGCTGGTCAAACCAGTTGCCTCCGAGTCAATTCCAACTCATAGTGACCCTAAAGGACAGAGTAGTATTGCCCCATGGGGGTTTTAAGGCTACAAATCTTTAAGGGAGAGACTGCCACATCTTTCTCCCTTGGAGAAGCTGGTGGGTTCGGACTGCTGATCTTTCGGTTAGCAGCCAAATGCTTAACCACTACGCCACCAGGGCTCCTCCATAAAGATTACAGCTTAGGAAACCCTATGAGGCAGTTCTACCCTGTCGTACAGGATCACTATAAGTTGGAATTGACTCCATGGCAAACAATGATGAAAGAGGATACAAAAAGAGAGACTGGTGACGCCACTAGGGCAGCTGGACAAACGTTCAGGTGTGCCGATGTTGTTATCTTTGCTGGGATCTACTGACTGAATTGCTGCCTCTTGCCTGCCAGATGGCAGCGACCCACAGAGCTTCTCAGGGACTGGCTTCCAACACCCATTCTTACTGCTGTGTCAGGGTGGCCATGTTCTACCTGCAGTGGCTAAGAGCTTTGTGGTAGGAGAAAAAGACCCCAGACTCAAATTTAATCAGAAGAGATTTTTATTAAGCCAAGACAAAGAATCATTCTAATGAGGGAGACCATCAGCACGTAGCCAGTACAGAGGCTGAGGGAATCCACTGAAGCGCAGTCATGGTGTCTATTACACGCTAAAGAGGACAAAGAAAACCATCACAAGGTCATGACTGGTAGCAGGTCAATTCATCACTTTTGTAGGTAGGGATACAGAAGCGGGAAATGGACCATGATTAGGATGCGTACATAATTACAGGTTAAAAAAGGTTACAGGATCGGTTCTGGGGTTTTAATTATCTGGCTACGTGGTGGCTGGGGTCGACTCATGATCATGCCATCCAGAGTCATAGTCACAAGGTGGTTATAAGACAATACCAGGACCTGAAGCTTTAACTTAAATCAGATAACATGCATCATGGAGCATTTCCTTCTTTGTTTTCCTTGTCGTTGCTAGGTGCAGTCGAGTCAGTTCCAGCTCATTGCGACTCTATGAACAACAGAATGAAACCCTGCCCAGTCCCGCGCCATCCTCACAATTGTTACTGTGTTTGAGCCCATTGTTGCAGCCACTGTGTCAATCCGTCTTGTCGAGGGTCTTCCTCTTTTTCGATGACCCTCTACTTTACTAAGCATGATGTCCTTCTCCAGGGACTGCTCCCTCCTGTTAACCTGTCCAAAGCACAGGAGATGAAGTCTCACCATCCTGGCTTCCAAGGGGCACTCTGACTGTGCTTCTTCCAAGACAGATGTGTTCGTTCTTCTGGCAGGCAGTTTATGTTATATTCGATATTCTTCATCAACACCATACTTGAAAGGCATCAATTCTTCTTCAGTCCTTCTTGTTCATTGTCCAGCTTTCACATGCATACGAGGAGATTGAAAGTACCATGGCTTGGGTCAGGTCGATGTTAGTCCTCAAAGTGACATCCTTGCTTTCCAACGCTTTAAAGAGGCCTTTTGCAGCAGATTTGCCCATTGATTTCTTGACTGCTGCATCCATGGGTGTTGATTGTGGATCCAAGTAAAACAAAATCCTTGACAACTTCAATCTTTTCTTCCATTTATCATGATGTTGCTTATTGGCCCAGTTGTGAGGATTTTTGTTTTCTTTATGTTGAGGTGTGATCCATACTGAAGGCAGTAGCCTTTGATGTTGATCAATACGTGCTTCAGGTCCTGTTCACTTTCAGCAAGGAAAGTTGTGTCATCTGCATATGACAGGATATTAATGAGTCTTTCTCCACCCGATGTCGTGTTCTTCTCCATATAGTCCAGCTTCTCCGATTATTTGCTCAACACACAGATTGAATAAATATGGTGAAAGGATACAACCTTGATACAAAACTTTCCTGATTTTAAACCAGGCAGCATCCCCTTGTTCTGTTCAAACAACTGCCTCTAGGTCTGTGTACAGGTTCCACATGAGCACAATTAGGTGTTCTGGATTTCTCATTCTTCACAATGTTATCCATACTTTATGATCCGCACAGCCAAATACCTCTGCGTAGTCAATAAAATTCAGGTACATATCTTTCTGGTATTCTCTGCTTTCAGCCAAGATCCATCTGACATCATCAATGATAGTCCTCTTTCCACATCCTCTTCTGATTCTGGCTTGAATTTCAGGCAGTTCCCTGTTGTCTCAGGCTGGATTCTCTACAGAAGCAAAATCAGTGCAGCATATAAATATATATGTAAAACCCAAACCAAACCCGTTGCCGTAGAGTCAGTTCTAAAAACCCATTGCCATCGAGTCACTTCTGACTCATAGTGACCCTACAGGACAGAGTAGAAGTGCCCCATAGAGGAGCGCCTGGCCGATTCAAACTGCAGACCTTTTGGTTAGCAGCTGTAGCTCTTAACCACTATGCCACCAGGGTTTCTGACTTACATATAGAGAGATTTATATCAAGGAAATGACTCACATGGTTGTTGAGGCTAGCAAGTCCCAAGCCCATAGGTCAGGCTGGAGGCTTCTCCTGACTCATGAGGCCACAGGGGTTGGCAAATCCAAGACAGGAAGGTCAGAGAGCAGACCTCTGGCTCACAGGCTCTGTAGGCTGATGAATCCCAAGATCGGCAGGCAAGATGGAGGGTAAGCTGCTAGCTCAAGTCCCAAGAGTTGGAGGTCAGATGAATAGGAGCCAGCTGTCAGGTCCAGAGCAAGCAAAAGCCATCGAGCCTTGCCAGAAAGTCCACCTATGTTGGATGCAGGCCACATCCCCAAGGAAACTCCCTTTCAATGAGTGGTTGCTCACAACAGAGCCTATCATGGAGGTGATCACACTGTATCTTATCATGGAGGTGATCACATCACTAAAAAGTTGCCAGACTACATCACAACTGCCACACCACTGAGGATCATGGCCCAGCCAAGCTGACACACAACCTTAACCATTACACCTGTTGATCGATGTACTGTTGCAACCATTGTTGAATTATCTTCAGCAAAATGTTACTTGCTTGTGATATTAATGATATTGTTTGATAATTTCTGCATTCTGTTGGATCACCTGTCTTTGGAATGGGCACAAATATGGATCTCTTCCAGTTGGTTGGCCAGGTACCTGTCTTCGAGATTTCTTGGCATAGACGAGTGAGCACCTCCAGTATTGCTTTACTGTACTTAGGTACCATTATTTATTAACCAGTCTAGAAACCTGTTGTCCCAGCTTTTCTACCACATAACTAGGGAAAATTGGACCTTATTCTAGCTTTCCTTAATGTGGCCAAGCCCTGTAAGATTTAGGGGGTCTCTACTCTCCCGATTAAATTTCATTGGCTCTCCCCAAGCCTGGAACCTGCTTCTCCTTCCCACTGTATCTAAGGAGGTAGGAGTCTTCATCAAAGCTTGATTTGGATTCAACTCTTGTTTAGTCAGACAATGTCCTTTTTGTAAAGGCATTTCCTTTTTTTAATAGGGAGAAGAATCTTCTGGAAAAATATATGGAATTTTAAAAAACATTTTTATTGAGGTATACCTCGTATTTGATAAAATGCAAAAATTAAGTGTATATAGTTTAGTGAATCTTTACATATGTAGATAGAATAAGATAGAGTATATTTCTAGCACACTAGAAAGTTCTCTTGTGCCCCCTCTTAGTCATTACCCCACAAGGAAACCATTTCTAACCCTATAAATTAATTTTGCCAATTCTTGAACTTCATAAAGATGAAATTCAAGGGCACGTACCCTTTTGTGTGTGGCTTTTTTCACTCAGCATGAAAGACTTACGAGATTTGTTTTTTCCTGTTTGTCCTTTTCCCCAGAGTTCTACAATGAGAAAATATGACTCTAATTTAGCTAATTGTTATTTTTTTTAAACAAATAGAATCTTTAAAAATAGTAGCAATAACTGCCAATTACAAAGTTTTCATAAAATATGAGGGCTTTTTTTTTTTTTTTTCCCACAAGAAGAAAAATAGAACTTTAAAAATCAGGAACTATTCAGAGTTTATAATCTCATGTATAAATAATGACTATAAGATGTATGCTGCCCCAGAGCTGGCAAGGTGGCTCTGACCTCCTCCTGGCCCCTCATTACTCCCTGCCCCAGCCCCAAGGTATCCACACATCCTAACAGAAGTCAGCCTGTGGCTGGACCCCACTGCAGGGACCAGAGGAAGCCCCAGCCAAGGCAGGGACATAGGCAGGCATCTCAGGGGCCTGCTAGGGTGGCACCAAGGACGAAGACCGAGGGTTGTCCTTGTGCTTGGGGGAGCCTCTCTGGCTAAAGACATTCCAGGCTGGGACTTAATACTCCATTCTGGGAGGGGCTGTGTGTGAGCTGGAGTCAGCCGGAGGAGGAGGGAGGCCGAGTGCCTCACAGCTCTTTGCTTAGCCTTGAGCTGGGGTTATAAACCTGGCTGGTGGCCCCAGGGCCAGAGTCGTCCCAGCAGGCCCTGCTGCAGTGGAGCAGGAACTGTAGCGGTCTTGGGGACAGTATGCTGGCCAGGGGACTCCCCCCACGCGCAGTCCTGCTCAAAGGCTGCCAGCCCCTCCTGAGTGCCCCGCAGGAGGGACCATGGCATCCCAGGGTGCCAATTGGAGGAGGAGCCAGCAGCATCTGCACTCGAAGCCCTCGCCCCTACAGCGAGGTCCCTTCCCTTGGTGACAATGGCTGGCTGAACCTGTACCATTTCTGGAGGGAGAAGGGCATGCACCGAATCCACTACCACCATATCCAGAATTTCCAGAAATTTGGCCCCATTTACAGGTAAGCCTGGCAGAGAGTGGGGGCCGGCAGAATTGGGTGGTGGAGGGGCTTGAGCAGCCCAGCTGTGCTGCGCTTTCCCTAAGCGGTTGGCTCCCCCATTCCAAGCTCCTCATCTACCTTCTGATTTGATCTCTTCCAGGTCTGGGGAAGGTGGCAGGAGAAGGGAAAGGCTTCTCAGATTGCTGGTCAGCTTCTGGCGCCCAGGTCTCAATTCCCCAGGC